GAAAAAAAAGCTCTAATAGTATGCTTTCAGATAAGAAAAAGAAAAAAATTGGTCAACGGTCTCGTTTCCTTCCTACATAATAAAATAAGTAAAATCTCTACACATTCTATTATAAAAGTTACTTTATCTGAGTTTTCTCCCCTTAAATCTGAGTTATCTGCCCTTATGTGTCAAAGTTGAAAAAAAAATGATTCAAACAAAACAATTCTGTTTTTTTGTAAAAGACAGCCGTAGATATGATAAAACACAAAATTTTCTATATTAACATGAAAAGTCTTACACATGAATTATATACTACTCTCGAAATTTGCACATTTCATTAAAGATCTAGACGGATTGTTATCTGCTATTTCAAAATCCAAGAGGGAGGAAGACACCCCAGTTACCTTATGCACTTTTTCTGTACTTATGAGCATGTACTTTTACGTATACTTTTGATAGTTCACTGATTATATTTAAAAGAAACAATGTTGTGATCTTAAGAAAAGAACTTGTCCAGGTGCATGTATCTTGCCAGGAACTTCATCATTGGTTGCCTTTAAGATAAGTCATAACTCTTTAATGCATTTTTGTTATCAAAAGGAATCAGCTTTGTTTGCAGATGTTTAATAGTTACTTTTTTTGTATTTAAATTAGACCCTATATGGAATGTTATTATTAGGTGTAATGTTGTGTTGCTGTCTCATTGACATTTATCTTTATCTTCGTTACACTGAATAGATAAACAAACCTCGAATATATATCCAATTGGTTATTTTTCTGAATTTGCCAAGCCACACGTTTTTGTTCGCGTTTCAGAATTTGTCGAGTTCCTTCAATAAAGTGACATTACTTTCTAATACTCCACCTTGATGTAGACAGAAACTAGCAGCATCTTTCCATGTTTTTTTAATGTTGTGAAACGTAACATTTTGCATGTTGAACTCTGTTGAATATAGAAATGAGATATCTCTTTACAAACTGCAAGGTATGACTATTTGCATCGAACGAAAGACAAATTTGCTTGATTTTTCGTAAAGGAAACATGCATAGAAATTTCCAACACGGTCATTAAAATAGTAAACACTAAGACCATGGAAAGCAAGCACACACATCCCATCCCCTACCTCACGCCAATGTACATAAACGACATTTTCTTTATATGTGTAGCAAATGCACCCAATGATATCTATATTAAATAGAGCGTGAAAAAATGTCCCCCATCCCGCAAACGAAAACAGCCTCTAACCCCCCCCCCCCCCCCCAAAAAAAAAAACAAAACAAAAAAACATGCAAACAAACATAGAATTAAAAGCGAAAAAATAACAACTCCATCCCCTCAAAATAAAACCAGAAACAAATAAAACCAACAAGACAAATAAAAGAGTATTAAGACAATTAGAAAAAAACACGACAAAATATGAATATAGAAAAGGTTTTCTTGTCTACAATAGTGTCTTTCACCAGTAATATCAATATTGTTATGCAGTAGACAACCATGTAGTTTTAATTTTGACAACATTCTAAATTATAATTGGATTCCTTTTTTTCTTTCTGTCATGATCATTTTGGTCTAAAAACATTATAACAAAAATACCGAAATCCCAGGTTATTTCAAAAAGGGGGAGTCCACATAAACTGACAAAATAAAAGGAAAAGCCAAAACACACTTTTAATGTACTGTTGTTTGTCTGTTTGTCTTTTTATTTTTGGCCATGGCGTTGTCGGTTTGTTTTCGATCTGTGAGTTTGACTGTCCCTCTGGTGTCTTTCTTCCCTCTTTTTTAATTGTTTACAGTATAATAGACATTGCCAAAGCAGATTTTAATCGAACATGATACGTTGAAATGTTATGAATTGAAAGCGAAGTAAATAATGATAATGATAATAATAATAATAATAATTTAAACAAAATGGTACAAGATGCATAATATTTCTTACCTTCAGATTGCCATAAAGTAGGAAAAACTGAAACCAGGACTTTAAGTTGCTCCATATTTGCATGGTACAACAATATAAAGGATGATTCCACAGCAACAAGGAAGTATTTGCCCTAAAATAACTCCGATCCTAAATTAAAGTATTAGTTATTCATAGCAGGGGCGGACACACAATAATACACAGTCTTAAAAATGGAAGAAAACACGAACACGACATATTGAAAGCGTCTGAGTATGTTCATGTACATGCATTGTAGCATTTTATCTAATTTGTTAAATTCAATGATATAGATTTGGTACAACATATAATCGAATATTCTAAACCAGAAAGAATTTGGTCGACTGTTTAACAAGATTTTTGTCCGCTTGAAAAATTTGACAAAAACATTGTTTGTATTCAACTAACAGACCATAAACAAACAGCTGTTATGTGTTTTTTAAATGTTTCTTATATCAATAAAAATCAAATAACAGTCGCAAATTATACTTGTTTCAGTTTAATGCATTCTGTTTTAAAAGCTCATGTGTCATGCGTTTATTAGTAATAAAGTACCTTTCGCCGGGTTTTACATTGCGTATTTCAAATTTTGAACATTAGTCTCTATACAGTTCCTTTTGCATTCATATTTTTTTTTAAAACAGTTGAACATATGATTCGTTATGAACAAATCAAATAGGTTAGAATGTACAATAAAAGAACAACTGCACTGAAAAAAATATCTATAGATAGTATGTGCAATTATCCAACTAAAACTAAAGCATATGCTATGTCCGGAAAAACAAAATTGTATGGAATACCCCTTGATGACAATGATACATGATACTGTGCATTGATAAATGTTATACGCCTTTCGATTTTTTTATACTTAAAATAGAAAAAACAAAGGATATGGGGTATCTATCAATGACACCAAATCAGTACATGCACAGCAAAAAAAAAAACAAAAAACAAACAAACAAAAAAAAAACACAAAAAGCAAAGGAACAGCGCTTTTTTTGCTGTTCTTCATCTCAAAGTCACAGTGAGGCCTTCAACACGGAGCAAAAAAACTCTCACCTCACTGCAAGTTTAAGACGTCCCCTGGCAACCGTTTGAGTGGAATTCTTTGCAAAAATACTTTGGACAGGCTTTGTAAGATTTAACACCACCTAATCGGGCCTGGTAAAAAAAAACATACAGGAAAGTAGTACATATTTAAAACAAAATATTTCCTACGCATAAGGTTAATTTAAAACGTTAAACTATGTAGCATATATTTTAGCAATTAAGGTATCTGATGATAGGTGGAGGACTGGTGATCATTGTAGAACACACAAATTACTGATTATTTTGAATAATACAAAAATGAAGAATGAATTCTAAAATTGAGGGCATAAATAGCCTGTTTCTCAGATATAAAGTGCCTGGTTTGGTGTTTCCAAATTCCGGTAACCAGTGCAGTACGATCTGATGTATAAATACAGGTTTATTGATTCCGCTTCCATAAAATGTTCTGAAGTGAAAAATTTAACGTAGAAAGGAATGAGGACCAAGAATAGGTGGTGTGCGTCTTTTTTTTTTATTATACAAACTGGGCAAAAATTGAGAGAATAATGTGACACACGTAAGAGAAGTACCCCATGAACACAGAAAGCAAAGTAACAGAGCTTTTATTGCTGTTCTTCATCTCAAAGTCACAGTGAGGCCTTCAACACGGAGCAAAAAAACTCTCACCTCACTGGTATAAGACGGCCCTTGCTAGTTGTTGTTAGTTAGAACAGGGATTGATAGATGTATTAGTCCTATGTTATAAGCTATTTTTAATACATTTTATTTTAAAGGAGAGGAAAATTCAAATAATCTCATCATAGATATCAAAATTATGTACGCGAGATACTCGTTTCGTCTACAGAAGACTTTTGAGTGACGCTCGAAGTTAAAACGGCCAAATAAGGTACGAAGTTGAAGAGCATTGAGTACACAAAATTCCAAAAGAATTTGCCAAATACAGCTAAGGTAACCTATTCAAACTTTAAGAAGCAAACGGAAAAGATGAATCATTAAACGAGTGCATTTCATGCACTTAAACCTAATAAAACCGAATTCACACAAACAATATACTAAGTAATTGAAGTTATCAAAAAATGCGTCAATTTCCTTGCAAAACCACAAATCACCGAATGATTACTGATAAATTATACAAAAATAGTATCTGTAGAGGTTGTAAGCTGAGGAAATGACATGGCCGTCTCTTTTACATACTCAATTTATCTTTTTTAAACTTTATTTTACTAAGAAAAATCTATCATGTCTATCTTCAATTGCAGAAATGAATAGTTTCATATCCAACTATTGCAGTCATCACGTGACTTTTACGATTCAGTTTTATATCAGTAATTGCCGATCGTTTTATCAATGAAAATGAATGGGGTTCATACATTAAACGATCATAACTTTTGGTACATTTTGTATTTAAATAACGAGCCTCACGTTGTATATATTTACAAAGCTCCAAACCGTCATCAGTTTAGAACATCCGTCAATAAATCCACCAAATTTTCTCATTTGCATGACAGTCATAACAATTTCAATAACAATGAATCTGAAAGTCAACTTTCTAAAACACATAGATTCCTGCGACACGGTATGTGTATCTAACAAAGCAACCAGTTAACCAGTGGTTGTAGGTTACGATCGCGTTGCTTAATCATCATTTTTTGTATGTTGTGTCTTATCAATATTTGTCTTTTTGTCATGCTAGCCTATGTTTTTTAACCTACAGTTTTTTATTGTCACCTTGCTATCGTGTCATTTTTTTTTACAGATATACAAATTGTTTCGTTATACTGAAAAAAGATAAACAAACATATTTATACAAATTTATTATAATAAATCTTTTCAAAATCAAAACTAAGTATGTAAGAAACTTTTACAGCTTAAGAAAGTGTCATCCTTAAACGCAAGCACCTTGATACAACATGTTTGTATCATACATGCGCTTCGTCAGTCTTAAAATGATCATAATAGTCCTCATTATCTAAAACAATCTTAAGATTAGAGTGATCGTAAGTAGGGTCCTCGGTTACTGCCGTAGGAAGGTGGTCGTATACTTTTGTTATCGGGTCCTCTATTTTTTTAACGTTATTTAGATGATCATAGTCTCTATCAATTATATACGGATCTGATTCTTCTTCTGTGTTACTTGGAATTTGTTTTGCCAAACAATAGTTACTTGACATTGCAACTTCTGAAGAATCCCCTGTTAAAATTTGAATTTTCGCCATTCCGTATTCTTCTTGACCAACTTTAGTATTTAATTTGTTGAAATCTAAATTGGTTTGGTTAGAATTTACATGGTCGTACGTTTTGTTATTAATTGCATGGGAAACATTCAACTTTCCAATGTTTGGACTAAAGTTTTCGACCTCAATTTCATGGTGCATTACAAACTGAGAGGTCTTGTTGTTGATATGCGCCTCCTGTGTATCCTGCGCGCCTCCCATGTTTTGTGATTCAAGACTTGGAGGACTGTTATTAGACAACCTGAAACGAATCGATTTAAACGCATATTCGTCGAAAAAAAGACAGTAACTGTTTCATTTTATATTCCGAGTGAAACCAAATTATACATCCCGCCATTGTGTTATTGTTCTATGGTAATTTGTTGTATTTTTTGTATTCCTGTCTTTCATTTTTGCTTATGTGATTTATCTATATGCTATTTTGTTTTTCTTTGATGACATATTTGTTTGTTTTTATAGTACCCCTATTTTTGACATGTTTACCTATTATATCTGTTTGTTCTGTTCGCACAATGTTGTCAATATAATTGAATTTTATGCGAATTTCATACAAGTGAAAGGTTTAGCTATCTATAAAACCAGGTTTAATCCACCATTTTCTTCATAAGGAAATGCCTGTACCAAGTCAGTAATATAGCAGTTGTTTTCTATTCTTTTAATGTGTTTGAGCTTTTGATTTTGCAATTTAATAAGGGACTTTTGTTTTGAATTTTCCTTGAAGTGTGGCACTTTTGTTATTTTACTTTTTTAATTTAATGACTAAAATTTACCAAAAATAATTATTCGTCAAACGTTTTACCATAATGAAACATGTAAAAAATCGTGACGTATAGCGCGGTGAATATCAATTTTCTTCATTTGCTGTCTCATTAATAAATCCAATTCTTATGAAAAAAAAAGATTAACTATATGCTAAAATAAAATCTAAAACCAATATGGAATAATTTCTTTCAATAATATCAATTATCTATATTGTGTGTACAGTTAAAGTTTTTCTTTGATTAACATGACAATAGGGAGACGTATGGTAGCGAAAATGTTTACAACTTGAAATGTGTCTGTTCAAAAACATGTTTTATCGATTATTCTAAAAACATATGTTAAAATATCGAGGTACCTTCGTCGATGAATGAAAATGAGAATTGAAATCACAGCAATAACAACAATAATTGATGTTACAGTTCCAGCTGCTATGCCTGCAAGTTATAATATAAATATTTAAATAGTTTACATAAAACGTCGTTGTTATATCTCATTGAAATTTAAAATATCTAACATAATAATAGCACTATGAATAAAAACATACACAGTTCTACTTGTTTTAATCAATTTTAAATTGATAAGCATCTGACGATTTCTGTCTTTAATATTACGTAATGTCTATTGTATTTAGACCCTAAACGTATTCTAACATACAACTTATGGAGTAAAATGTTCTAAAATAAAACATGAGAATAAGGCTGGTCATTTTGGATGATAAATAGTTCACAAAGCAAGGTGACTTAATGTCAAAATAAAATTCATTTTTTTTTGTTGGAGGTAAATTACATTGACCGAAGCACATTCGATATTAAGCTAGGAAGCGCATCTTTTAAAAATTTTCACGCGATCTACGCTTTTACAACAATATAGATTAATATTGCAAATAGATTTAAAGCATTGAACGATTTTATTTATTCTATAACCATAAAATGAAGCATTAATTACATCAATCTTTTTGGCTGTTTTCCTACATAACTGAATTGTTGTAATGTTGTTAAGGAGAGCATTTGCAGTCATACAAATAACATCTTTTGAGAAAATAACTGCGTCTTGATTGTTGTCTGGCAATAAAACATTTCGACAATTATGAAACATCTACAAGTAGGTAATGTTATTATTTTACATGTACGCTTAAGGGTAGTCTTTACTTCCGTTTTTTTTTCTGGTTGCTTTGTTGTTTTTAGTTTGGTTTTTTTGTTTGTTCGAAAAAGGTACAGAAGACGCAAGCTTATAGGGGGCATTGTTTAACAACAAAAAAAAGTGCACTAGTTGTGTGTAAGGCAGATTTTTTATATTCAGATACAATAACACATTTTGCAAGCTTAAATCATATAACCTAACCTCCCGATTTGTCTGACTGGACACTTTTCTGCTGCGGTATCAAAAGACTTGGAATTGAAATTATGTCTCCTGTGTCTTCCTCACCTCCTAAAACATTCCATTCGATAGTCGTACAATTTTGATTAAATCTAACCGAGGTTAGTATTGACAATAATACCATTGATAATTCTACTACTACTAATAATAATAATACATTTATAATAATAATAATAATAATAACTAAAGACCTTAAAGAGTTCATGTCCCTTACCTAGGTCTGTGTGCATTTTCAAAAATGGGCAATCTCAACAGTGTAGACCAGAACAGAATTCATGACAAAATAAAATTGAGTATGGAAATGGGGAATATGTCAAAGAGACAACAACCCGGCCAAAGAGCAGACAACAGCCGAAGGCAACCAATGGGTCTTCAACCCAGCGAGAAAATCCCGCACCCGGAGGTGGTCCTCAGCTGGCCCCTTAATAAAATTGTGTACTAGTTCAGTGAAAATGGACGTTACACTAAACTCCAAAACATATAAATGAACTAAAATTAAAAAACATACAAGACTAACAAAGGCCAGAGGCTACTGACTTGGGACAGGCGCAAAACTGCGGCGGGGTTAAACATGTTTTGTGAGATCTCAACCCTCCACCTATACCTCTAGCCAAGGAAGAATAAAGAAACACATAGCAATACGCACAGTAAAACTCCGATGTCAGAAAAGGTAACAAAAGAAACTAAGCAAAATGACAATGATACATAAATTAACAAAGGACTACTAACAGTTACTGACATGCCAGCTCCAGACCTCAATTGAACTGATTGAAAGATTATGTCTTCATCATATGAAAATCAAGTACAATCCCTCCCGTTAGGGGTTAAGTATCATACCATCATAAAATATATGAGAAGAACATAACCCGTATCATGCCAACAACTGGTTTTAGAATAAATGTGTTTATTTCCGATGCAAAGACCCTATGAGTGAATCAATATTAATACCAAAATATGCAATCCTTAATGACCTGACAACAGTATCGTAGCTATATCCTTTCCGAATAAGTCTGTTTAAAGGTTTGGTTAGCTTTTGAGGTGAATGCCGACATTTTTGTGTTTTGTAAAGAATATTACCATAAAATATTGGATGTGAAATACCTTAACGTATAAGATGTCTGCATGTTGATTTATATTTACGAATGATGTCCTTGTACCTTTATTGTAAAAGAATCTTTTTAGATCTTGTAGTGTCGATCATATTTTCTGTTTACAGTTTCTCATTATCTCATTTTTGCCCAAAACAAAAAAAATCATCGTTTAAGGGCAATCACTTCTATAATGAGTCTACTAACTATGTCAGTATAATTTCAATAATTAGTATTTGTAGATCTTGTCTTGCTGATCATTTATGCTAGATAAAGTTTCTATCTATCTTTTATAGTTTTAGATAATACGCAATAACGCAACAAATTGGTGAACATCGTCATTAAAGGGCAATAACTCCAATAAAAAGTCATCTGACGATTTTTGGCATTTAAAGTTGTATAGATCTTGTCTTGCTGATTATATTTGCAGTTTAAAGTGTGTATCCATCTTTTATAGTTTTCAAGATATTGGGAAAAAAAGCCAAACAATCGTAACAAATTGTCACTAAAGATCAATAATGCCAATTAGAAATCGTTTGACGATTTCGGCCATTTACTATTTTTTATAAATCATGTCTTGCTGATTATTTTTGCTATTTGAAGTGTGTGTATTTAACTTTTATAGTTTCAACATATTAGGCAAAAACACAAAAAGTTGGTAAACAAAATCGTCATTAAAGGCAATACCCTAATAAAAAGTCGTCTGACAGTTTCCGCTATGTTAAGTTTTTTAATAGATCTTGTCTTACTAATCATTTTTTTTAATGTTTCCTTCTATCTATGATAGTTTTCAAGATAATAAGCAATGCAAAATCATAGGTAAAAATCGTCATTTAAGGATAATAACAAAAAGTCGTTTGACAGTCTTGATGTAAATAGACAGTAGGTAGATCTAATTATTTTGAACATTTCATTCCCTGTCAAATTTTCTCTATTCAAATCGGTTTTCAAGATATTATTAGACGAAACTTGCATTATACCCAAGGCTTATGTTCTATTGTTAGCCATATCGGTCATGTTGGTTGGCAAGCGGGGTCATCGGATACATTTTAAAAAATGGATATCCCGATGACAATTGTGGTAAAGTTTGTTTAAAAATAGCCCTGTAGTTTCAAAAGAGAAACTTCATCATCATCATCATCATCATCATCATCATCATCATCATCATCATCATCATCATCATCATCATCATCATCATCATCATCATCATCATCATCATCATCATCATCATCATCATCATCATCATCATCATCATCATCATCATCATCATCATCATCATCATCATCATCATCATCATCATATATTGACTGATAGCTAGTTATCTTCGTATGTTTAATTTTTGTATTTACTTACCGAATTTGCAGAAAAACGAGATATTGTCATTACAACCTTCCTGCTCTTCGCTCCCATCGTCCAATTTAAAACATTTCAAAGGTTGAAAGGTTTCTGTGTCGTCTATAAAATAATATTATTCTTCCAACATTAAACGCATTTGACGATTAATGTCTCTTCAGTGAAGGTTACGATGTATTAAAATTCAGAACCGTAATATACGGACACAAAAAACAGATACTTACAGATAGTTTTAATTTTCTACATAAACGTTGTATAGCTGATATAGCCGGTATGCAGAATACGATCAATAGAACAGCCAAACCCGATAAAGAACTATAAATATAGATGTGGGGGATGCATTCGATATTTTTCAATGAATTCAAAAGTTTCTTATAGGAAATTTCAATAAGACAATAATAAATAAATGTGCTACTAAGCTGGTGATACCGTCTGGTACATGTACTAACAGTTCATAAATAAAGTGACCAACCCAGTGGTAGTAAAATATTAAACGGTACAAATTTAATGCACCTGATGTTCGTTTTGACAATACATGTCTCCTTATAGATGATTGAGGCCTAAATATTTGACAATCCAACACCTAATATAAACGCTGAAAACTGGTATAACCGAAAATACTCAAACGTATAGAAAAAAAAGTATGAGAAGGATTCAAAACTATATGTATGAATGAGGGAGGTACATACATTATTAAAATATGGTGTATTACAACTTTGCATTAACTAGTCACGAAACAAAAGTACTGGAAAACACCAAGAAAGTGCGCGAATATTCAATTTGACTAAGAAAGTCGGATAATGCAATTCCTCCCCCCCAAAAAAAAATCATCCAAAGTTGAAACAGAAATCAATGTTGGTGCTTTATAATGTCGTGTTAAAAACGTTTTCCTTTAAATATTCGAATAATAAGAAAAGATCAAACAAAAAATGTTGAAGAGCACATCAGTTTATAAATGTTTAAGCTCGACTTTGGAATGCACCAAGTTAACGAAGCAAATTACGTGTTTCAATTTGGAATTAAAACATTAAATAAAAAGGAATATTGCTACAATGCAACATGAATAAATTCATGAAGAACAATTGATGTGAATATATATACATTAGTTCGAATCCCGGAGAGGGAAGAACACTAATTTGCTTCCGCAAATTTGCAGATTTGACATTGTTGTGCTGATATTTAGAGTAATCATATATATATTTATAGATTATTGATGGTTTTTCAAACGAGAAGGTGTTTCTCAGCTACAATCTCAACGAAGGGAGACAGCCTTGAGATAAGATATGGCTAAGAAACATCCTCAAGTTTGAAAGACCATTGATAATCTGTTTATCGCTATTTTGCCTATGAGGTCGTTCATCTTTACATTGACAACGTCACGTGCGCCCTTAGTTTCTGACGATAATTTTCCATCTCAAGCGAGTAGCATGATATGAAAAATTATCACCAAAAAAGATCAAAGGAAAAATGCACAAAATAGCGATATATATATATATATATATATAACTCTAAATATCAACACAACAATGTTAAATCTGCAAATTTGCGGAAGCAAATTTTTGTTCTTCCCTCGCCGGGATTCGAGGATATCGTGACAACACCGCCTGTACTATGTCGAGCGCTCTAGACCACTCGGCCACCTAGACTCAACTAAAAATTCAGCTTTCGGTGGTCTAGTGTTACCTTTCCTCGTCAGTAGAATCTAGAGTTGTAACATAGTACATGATATTTTAGGCATGAAGATGGAATTGATTGCAGATTACCTAAATTATCTGTCGTAAAGGATCGTAAGATGCCGTCACATAAATAATTACATGATAAGTACGTCTCAACAAGTGACAACTCTACGACGGATCCATCCATTGTGTCACCAGTGAAGGTGATACATGGCTGAAAACACATATTAAATTCATAATTACTCTAAATATCAGCACAACAATGTTAAATCTGCAAATTTGCGGAAGCAAATGTTTGTTCTTCTCTCGCAGGGATTCGAACTCATGCTTTTGGGATGTCGTGATAACACCGCCTGCACTGTGTCCAGCGCTCTAGACCATATATACATATATAATTGTTAATATTTTGATCCATACTTTTTAGAAAACTTTGGAAGAAGATTTCAAACAGAGAAAACACATGTTTTCCCACATGTCCTATTTTAAAGTTACAAGGAAAGATATTTGTTTCGTTCGTAAAATTCTCTGAAATAGTCACTGTTATCTCATTCGGTTTCAAATAAGATACTTTGATCATTCATCATTTAGATTAAATTAAAAACCAAACATACATGTCCATTTCGATTCTATAAAGAGATGTCCATAGAAGTTAATATTATTCTTCTGTTGAAAGAACGTAGTATACTTTAACGTTCATTGTGGTGATAGAAATGTCTTACATGAGTTTTTAAGAAGAAGTGTTTCCTTATGTCGTCTCCCATTTGTCCAGTGTTGATGTTTTAATGTTTGTGTTACACAGTAATTGTCTGGATACCATTTTATAAAAGATCCTTGTGTTTCACATTCATCTGCTGCTGTCAGATATTTTTGATATTCAAGTTTTGCACCATTATCTGTAACATATACATTTATATCAAAACCGAATAAAAAATTGAAAAATCTAATTTGCATTACTGTGAATAAGAGATAATGTGGGTACTTTACCTGTATTTAGCAAAACTTTTCGGAATCTTAGGTCTTAAATGCTCTTCAACTTCATACTTTCTAAGTTTGTTTTTGAGACTTGTTTTATTTGAGCATCATTAATGACTTTTGTAGACGAAACGCACGTCTGGCGTACTAAATTTGAATTCTGGTTTCTACGATGATTTTATTTAGTTGAATGGGGCAGCAACGGAAAGATAGGCACTAACAAAAATCAAAAGACCTCTACATGTAAAAATATGATGTCAAACAAAACATTTTCTCGAGTCTAGAATGGTGGTAAACTAGTTTTACTAAAGCATACAAAAGTATGAAAACAACATACAAGTCTGTAAAAAACAAAATTACTAGGATATCAATATCAAAAGAAATCAATCTAAAACTGTATTGACTTCAATTTACAGACAGGTTTAAAGTGTGTAGTTTTGTTAAACAACTACAGTACAATTAGTACTGGGCCTTCCTATGTTTCATTATCAATCAGTGGAACTGTAGATTTAACTATTGTTTATTTCAAAATGAAACCTAAGACTGTCTGTAGTCACTATGTCTGACTTCCTATCAAAATGTATTATGTAAAACCTATTTATCATAAAAGTGGTAAATTATTTCACATACCTTCAAGTTGATAAAAAAAAACATAAGTTTGACAATCGTATCACTTTAAAATGAAATAAAAACGAGCATTATTGTAGTCACAGAGTCAATCACTTTACCACACGCAACATGAAGGAAACGTTAAATGCAAAAATAGCATGTGTATTACCACAGGTAGCATTGTAATTTTCGTTGCAATCTTCATAACTACGTTGGAGGTTTTTACCGTCACACCCAGTTGCAACAATGCATTGTTTGCTTGAATCTAGAGAACCGAAGTTCGGAAGTTGATCTGTTAGAAAAAATATAAAGAAATAAATGTATGTCAAATTTCTGTTAACCCAACATGTTTTTTTCCAATTTCAGTAAGTTGTTTCAATGATTGTTATGTCGTTTTTTTCGAATTAGTCATTGCTACATATTCTAACAGATTTGTTAACTATTTGCAAAAATCCATTTATATATTGTGTACTATTAGTCTGATGTTTCGGTTTATGATATGAACACCACTCAAAGATTATTTAGATTAAAAGAAATAATAAGAAATTCAATACTATGAATTTTTTGAACACAGTGAACAAAAGATAAACTTTCAATGACACATGCTCCCTCTGCAAGAAATATGATTTTCACAATCAATTTTAATAAAAACAATGCTCATTCTGTTTTGAATGGCCGTTAGATTGGTACATATTGGAAAAAGTATCGTGCATGGATTTTGTGCTGTTATTCAAATTTAGTGTAAAAGAAAAATTAACCAGTGGATCGGACATTAAAATGTACTCACGTTCCCAAACTTTGTAGCAACCGACACAATTACAGTTATTGGCTCTGTGGAATGGCAGTATTTCTTCAATACAATAACAATCTTTTCCCTTTAAAAGACAATATATTCAAAGTTCTTACATGTATTACCATGCATGTATATTTCAATTGGTATATTTTTATCAATGGAAAAGAGTAGAAATTGTGAATTAATTCAAGGTGCAAAATTCCCAAACGCTCTTGACAAAAAACAAAAGTAAGGAAACAGCGTTTTTTCCTTGTTGTTAAACTTAAAGCAACAGTGAGGTATTTCACATAAACCAAATGTTGCATCTCACTACTAATTATATATAACCCTTGTCGCTTTTCGTGAATTTCTATGCTAGATGTCAGTCACGATATACTTGCATGTGCATTGACTAATCAGACATGGGGTAACATTAACAAAAATACAGGCTACAGTTGGCAGATAAATCTAAAATTGATATGGTTTAGTAATTGATTGATTTTTGTTCCGCCTATCGTCCAGTGGCAAATATTTCATGCATGTTCAGGACGAGAACAAATTAACAATACATACAATAGTAAGTCCTGTAATAGAGGCCGTCCGGAATAAAGGGGGGGGGGGGTAACCGTATAGTAAACTACATGTATAAAAAGCCCCGCATTATTGAATGTGAAAAATATAACTGCCCGATTAACATCGTATACATGTATCAGAAAAAAGATATGAGTTAACTTAGTTGTATGAACACGGTACAATTTGACTGATTTAATAAAAGATTATACCTTATTTGATGTATATTTTGTGCTGTGGAAATGATTAAATTAAACAGTCGAGTTATTAATCAAAACAAGATCGCATATTTGTGTTGTTCAGAATTAAATTAAGAAGTGATTGAAGCGTCAAATTTAAATGCATTAATTAACTCTCAGAAATATAGCATAAAACACACATAAAACAAACAATTTTACTTACGTTGATACTATAAAATTTGTAGTTATTACATAACATTTGGCATTTTAGCTTTGCGGTTTCAGGTGGTTCAATTACAAAGTGTTGGAAGTCTCCATAAATGTAAAAGCATCCTGTACAAAATAAACATCTATCAAACTAAAATAACGAGGTCCAATTTGTTAGCCGGCATGACGTAAAAACGTCGAATCAAAGAACTCATCTGTATATATAACTAATATAGTACAATGGTGTTGATTAAAAATTACACCATTCCAGGCCCTTTTGTTTTAACAATCCGAAAACTAAAAAGGAATGAATTTTTCACAGTCGTAATAAATTCCATTGAGCACACGGCTAATCCAAATCAGATTTAATGTGTGGAAGAAATAACAAAATTTTAAATGATACAGTTTGACTTTGAGACATTAGTTTAAGATTTAACATTTTACAACAAATATCATATAATAGGAAGAAGTTACACTTTATCATACTTTATTATTCTATATTTCGAAACGATTGAGTATGAACAAAGTTGTTGAATGATCAACTATGACGTAATCGTAAGGCAAGAGTGTATTTGAACTGTGTAGTATATCTGAGGTAGTTAATGCACGCATAAGCTGTGCATTATAAAGATTATATTACATTAAGAACAAAGAGAGTTTGCCTATGCCATGTGTTAATGGTTACTAAAGCATCTCAATAACCCATTTTTGCATCATTTTGAAGAAAGGGTTTAATTTACAAACCTAGAACATATGTCCACTTGGTTAATAGTTCGCTTTTGCCAAGCCAAATGTCTTCGTGTTCTCCGTTTTGTGTAATGCCCCTTAAGTGTTCTGACAATAAAGTGACGTTACTCTCCAGTGCTCCACCTTTTTTTGAACAGAAATTAGCAGCCTCTTTCCATGATTTTTTTTCATTGTAAAAAGTTACATTTTGCATGATCAATCCTAAGAAATTAATATAAAAAAAACTAAAATAACAAGAACAGTTTTAATGAAGATATTACAACTTTTCTTTCATTCGTTGAGTCAGAAGTGTACATATAAAAAAAAAAGCATTTAGCATTTAATATACGTCAAAAGCGATTTTCTGAATTAAGATGAGTAAAAGACCAAGTTTACACATTAATGAACGGTTTGAAAATATCATTTACAACTGATATATGGGCCTTTTTAAAAAAAAGTCCATTTTTGACAACTGGAAAATGATTTTGTTTTGAGAAATAAGTGATTTGACTGTACATGTCAATACTTCAACATCAGTATAAACTAAATACAAAATATGCAACCTTAATCTAAACGGTAAGTTTGACAACAAGGCTGTAAAAGTGAACAATGTGTAAGAAGATGTCCCCTTCGCAATTATTTTTTTCAGGCTTTACCATGCTAGAAAAAATAGAATTTAAAGGTATTTTTCTTCAAGAATCTGACAAAAAAAAGATTTATACGGTTTAACTATTTGATTTGCAAGTTTAGCTACTAGAAAATATTAAAACCGTTTTTAAAATATTCACAAATGCCCACTGCGTAACGTATATGTCCCCTATGAAACGTTATGTGTCCACTTCGCAACGGATTGTGTCCACTTCGAAACGATTTGTTGCGAAGTGGACCATTGCACAGTGGACGTGTTAGCAGCCATTGTTGGTACACGCGGTTACCCAGATACATGCTTTTATGATTATTGTCTTAGATAATACATTTCATTTCATTAACTACAAGCTTTTTAAGATTTGAGGTCAACATTTCTTAAAAAAAGACGTTGCAAAGTGGACAAATAAAAAGGTACGCTATCAATAGGAATTGCCAATTGATTGAATGCAGACGAATTATATCATGGGAATCCAAAGATGACCGCCATTTTACTAAATGAAGTTGTATAAGTTGCAAATAAACGGACAGACTACAATTTGAATAAAAGACTGATTATAATTTTGCCAATTGTTTGTTGTCGTTGCGAAGTGGACATTTTTTCATTGACGCCACTGAAAAAATTACTACCACAAATTTATTTGAACTTATCTAAATATTTGAATACTTTTTGAAATGTTCAGATGTAGCCCTATGAAAAAACATTGAAAAAGGAGCAAAAAAGATTGGTAAATTGTATGATATTTTTGAAAATTTGAATAAACTTTCAAGTGTGGACAGAGCGTTTTTTGCTGTTTTTGGGCCCTTTGGTCTGATATTTTCAGAGAGTCGTTACAACAAAGCAGATAAAAATGTTGTCGTTGTCTTTAATTACAATTTATAGGCTGAGACAAAAAAAAAATATATATATGATGTTTTCACAATTTATGCCCTGGACAGAGAAAGTGGACACTTTTTGAAAAACGTCCATATGTGCACTGAAATGTACGTTGGTGTGGAAATGCATTCCCGTGACGTCATGAAAAAGGCTAGAAATAGCATTGACTGGCTCAGCAATTAACTTATCCTTAACACAAATAATTTCGGGGCCGTCGATAGGTTAATATGCGATATGGGTTGTGATCATTGTTGAAGGTAACATGGTGACCTATAGTTGTTAACTTCGACTCTGGTGGAGAGTAACCCCATTTTTAATCATACTGAATTTTATTATTTGTATGAAAAGCAGTGATATCAAAATAAAAATGGTGTAGATTTTGTTGAAAATAACAATCATTCGTATAGCGTAAATGTGCACAAGTTTAGATGTACCAAAAGGTAGGCTAATATCATTGCCTTGTAGATTTGTAATTCCCTAAAAAATTCTGTAGGCCTCATATTACTGACCATTGATACAATGTATACATGATATAATAGTATCACGATTTTAACGAAAATTCTCACAAGATAAAAAAAAAAACACATCGCAGATAGACATGTCACTTTACCCGTTACTTAAACGCGACCAGTTTTGTCCTTTCACCTATATATCGCGTGCTTGACATAGTTGCATCAAATATCAATTTAAAAATCGCGGAACGAATCAAACTTGCTCCCACATATTTGTGAAGAACATACCACGAGGCGACCGCGCGCGTTTTGGAACAATACATACAGTTATACGACAATATATATATAAATAATTAAAAAAGTAACATAATTTTTATCATACCTTCAAATTTCCATAAAATAAGAAACACATAAATCAAGAGCTGAAGTTTCTTCATATTCTCACATCACACAAATCCTGGTGGACTTTTCTCTAAAAACATGAAAAAGGAAGTTTTATTTTCACAAAGTCTCAACCTAATTTAATATCAAGTGCCATTAGATTTAAACAATAAATTTTATGTCACGAGAAGACAAAAATAGAAGTGAGACGAGTGTGCTACAATCATTTTACCTGAATTGTCTATTAGCGAATAAAAGCACATGATTAGAATAAACATTTAAGTCACATTTCTATTGCAGCTTTCAGAGAGAAAACAAATAATAAAAAAAAAACCATAATTGTTTTGGTATTAGGTTCAAGCAAAAACAAAACCGCCAACGTGAACTCACTAGATGTTCTTGAAAATACTTCATATAAAACATCATATTCAGTTTGTTTAATGCAAAGATTTTAATGGTCGCCGTTTGTACTTAAAAGAACATCAAATATACAAATATCGAGGTACACAACACGACAAGCTCCCAAACTATCGGAAAGGTCGCGGATTTCCAGTGTACATGGTTATGATAAATTATGTTTAATTAATATGAAATAAGGATATGGGGTTTCCATTCATGACACAAAATCACTACATACACAACAACAACAAAAAAACGCACACACAAAAAGCACACAAAAAAAAGAACATTTTTGCTTTTTTTCATCTCAAAGTCACAGTGAGGCCTTCAACACTAATCAAACAACTCTAACCTCACTACAAGTTTGAGACGGCCCCTAGCATCGGTTTATTAATTTTTTCAGATGACCGTTGTTCAGAACAGATATTAAAATGAAAGATTTTGTACATGTGGCATATTTTTTTGTCTGTTTTTTTTCAATGGGAAGTACTGTTGGGGGACAAATAACTTAACTTGGCTTCGTAAATTTCTCGGATTTCGATTAGATAATAACACGTCGTTTAAAAACCCATAGCTCTAGATGTTTTTAACCCATATCCCTGGGCGTTGCTGCTTCCATTTTCCACGAGGAACTTCACGCGCTTTTCTACGGTATTTTATCTAAGTTCCGTGGTTGTTTCCAGTAAAAAAATGAATTATGTAGATTATCCATGATGTCTGTAATCAAATATGTAATGCATTAACGATTTTATCTAATTATACTTTCACGTTACACTTTGCGTCTGAAGTCCCCAAAAAAAGTCCCCGACCAAGACCGGGGATAAAATTGTTATCTACGTATATATGGGTATTTTAGGGTGTACAAGGGGGTACTTCAGGATGTTAAAATACCCATATATACGTACTGGGGTACCTCAGGATGTTAAAATACCCATATCTACGGATATGCACGTAAATAACTTATGTTCCCATACTGTAACTTCCGAAAAATGGAAGTTATTGTGCATTATGAAATCACTGAGAGAAAGTTGATTTAAATGGTATAGTCACCTCTTAAACATCTTCATGATTTATAGAACATATATTTGACTATGCAAACACCTGAAATCATGACACAAATATTGTTTGTATAATCTCATCAAAAAGTTTCATTAAAAAGAATACTAAATGTTCAGGACATATCATCAAACAATCGACAAAGAGAAAATACTTATTTTTCTTTTTTTTTTCTTTTCAAAAACTTTAGTTATGACTGTGGTTCATTAAAAACGAGAAAAAATATTCGTGCGAGATAAATAGTATACGTAACTAATCAATACATTTTTGCCTTTAGATTTTTTGTAAAAAGAACAGCAGACCTAGTCCAATAACAAATGACTATTACTTACACGTTTTTATGCTGATCATCTATTTCTTTTTTATTCATTGGGCCATTTTTGGTCAGCTTATTAAATTATTAAAAAGCAAATAAAACAAATAAGTAAGAAACATTTTAAGAAAACAAAAAGAAATAAAAAAAAATATCGTCCCGAGATCATACGTCATTTTCGTGGACATTCACATTGTATGCTTACAAAATACTAATCGTGAAAGATGTCGGGTATATATCAGTGAGACAGAATCAGATGACACAAATAACCACAAAGACATAAACTAATGTTTCAATTACAAAAAAATACAGAAAAAGAAATTGAAAAATCGTCAAATATTTTTTTTTAGATATAACATTCCAATTCGTTTGAATAACATTAACGGTACAAATTTTACTTTGCACCAGATGCGCATTTTGACTATTTATGCGCAAGACCAACATATTTAAAAATCCGATACCTATTAAAAAATAAAGGAGCTGATAAAAACCTAAAAGGCCAAAAAAGATAGCTTAAGTCAAGTACGGAATCCGAACTTTGCACTCGGGAAGCATATTTTCTAGTAGGAATTGGCTTAATCCCAACGATCTAGTTGAATAACGCACCAGAAACACACCGTGATGTTTGCTTGATATTCGTAGACTGGGTAGGCTTCAGTTGTTCTCCGTTTTTTTGGTTCAATGCATTTCTCTCGAGAAATACTATCAAGTTGAAACATTCATCTTGGAAACTGTATAACAAAAGTGACCGAAGATATATAATATTTATTATTAAAAATGAAGGAGGTAATATTTTTGTACATGTTGTACGTTTAAAATAACTGTGGTTTATTCAAATTAAAACTGAATAGTTTGATTTCTGGTTGCCCATTTGAGACAATGTTGCATGACTGTTCATTTTCATGTTGTATGCTCAACAATTTTAAACATTTTAAAGTCCTCCTATCCCCTAATTTTAACTGTACGATCGTCCCTTTACAATTTAAATGTATGACTTATTTTCTTTTTTTTTTTTGGTATTCTTCGATGTGTTAACATTTATCAGTGAATTAAATAGTATGTAGTTAATACCTTTGTAATAATGTATTGCAATAATACATCGAGCGCTCTAACTGACTGATCAACAAAAACACCTAGTAATTTGTAGGCTATTATGTCAACATAGACATCATACGTATTTTTTGTTTAAGTGTGACCATACAAGTTTTATGAAAATGTTTAATACTCTGTACATGCTATATATGACCAGACCTGAAGTAGTAATATACAGTCAAGCTTATTAATACTAAAAATGTTTGAAAGTTTAAAAAAATCACGAACTGTAATGAATTAGGAGACAGGTGCCCCTCGTGAGTACCCAAATCTATAGTAATTGCTGGATGTGTCGGAAAATACGTGTGGAAACCTATATGGGCTACACACGGAGGAATTTTTCCACTTCTTGTTGAAATAAGAAACCACCATACAGTTTCTTTAGATCATCCGTAGATAAATGTCCATAACATTGATTTGAACTTTCTTTTTGTAGTATTTTTAACTAACACATACAAAGTGTAATTCAGTACATTATCGGTCATTAAATAAAACACTATACGTCATTGATGAATCGGTTAATCGAATTCATAGTCCGTTGAAACCATTGATTGGGGATAAAATGTAGGTATGTTCATTTGAGAGTATATTTGTAGAGGATACCGCAGAGGGAGTAACGCAGAAGGTCAGACAAAACCATAATAAAAGGGAAAGAGATGATACATTAAAACAATTAAGAAATGACACAGGAAACTAAAGATTGAGGGGTAAGTAGGTTCCAATCCACTGGTATCATCGTTTCTGTTTCAGTTAAGATATTATCATCACTATAATATCGTATCATTATGACAAAACAAACACGTTTATCTTTGTTAATTATACATCATTATCAATCTCTTAACAAAAGTCAATTGTCAGAATGTAATTCCTTTTCCTCAAAAACTCTGAAATCAATGTAAATTTTCGTACATTGTATCTCCTCCATTTATATTTTATACATCAAATAAAGTACAAATAAATTAAATAAAATTAACCTATTCAGGTTGCTTTATCTCCAAAATTTACAAATCTAATAGCAGGGAAATAAATATTGTGAACCGAAAATTATTATAGTCACAATAAAGTAATGATAAGATGTGTTGTGATTGTCAAACAAACAAAAGGTTGTGCAATAAAAGTGCCATATAGATTATAATTCATCATTTGACATAACAAACACTTATGTGTATAAATTTAAATCAACTTTACAATCGAACTTTTACATTTACCTGCTGATGTCTAACCCCCAAAAAGTACGCGTTTGCTCAAAAGTAGTCATTTCACTAAAGGGACAACTTATATTGAAAATAAGTAAGACGGCAACGAACAGAAAAATGACATAAACGGTGTAGCTCGTAGCATTGTTTTTTATACATTTTTTTTGACATAAAAATACAATTTTGTTCCGCATTTACACTTTGACCATGGACAGATTTTCAACATTGCTGGGTGATGTACTAGTATTGAACTTGACCATTGGATACGATCGCAACTATTCCTTAATACTCAATAATGTTACAAAACAAACACTTATATAGTCCAAAAATATTTCTGAAAGGTTATGAAGAACGACTTCCGGTTTTCTTTTTTCGTCGTATCAATGTTTGTTCTTGTAATTTTAACCAAAGCCACGAATCTCACGAATTACTAAAATGTGGCCATTGTTGAAGTTGCAAGTGAGCGACACAGGCTGTTTAAAGCCTCTAGTTCACTATTCTGTAAACTCCATTCAGACCATCATATGTTACGGATGTTGCTATCGGCACCATTTTTATCGAAGTGTTTACGAATAACTAATTTACTTCGTATATTTCACGGACGCCATCACAAGTTTGTTGACCGTTATGAGGTATCTGTTTCAAAGATGACGACGGATATGTCCCAATTGTCGTACCTATAACGACGGGTGCCAAATGTGGAGCATGATCTGCTTACCCTTTCCGGAGCACCTGAGATCACCCCCAATTTTCGGTTGCGTTCGCCTTGGTCAGTCTTTGGTTTTCTATGTTGTTTTGTGTACTGTTGTTTGTCTGTTTGTCTTTTTCTTTTTTAGCCATGACGTTGTCAGTTTATTTTCGACTTATGAGTTTGAATGTCCCTTTGGTGTCTTCCGCCTCTCTTTTACATTCAAGTATTTGTAAATATGCAAGACATATAAGATTTCTCACTGTACAAAGTATGTATAATCTTAACATGCTAATTGTCAATTTAGAAATCAACCGAATGTCAAACAGGCATAGGGAACTGCAATTTTTTCGCCATTCAACTTGATAATTACAGTTACTAACAAAAAAGGAATACATACATGTATGGTATCCGGGTAACTAACTACAGATAATGTTTTTATACTATTTTGAGAGTTACTATTTCACGTATCCTTTTATATCAACTAGCATCTGCCAAACTACGCAAACTTGTATGTATACATTCTATATCATAAAAGATT